AGCATTCAGGCACCAAATGCTAAGGAACATAGTAGCTTAAACTATTGAATCTGTATGATTTTGTCATTTCAGTGACTACTATGGACTAGTATGTGCTAATTGAAAACCACTGTTAGCTATGGGTCCATTGACTGAAGAGGAAGGAAGCTGAGGACCATCTTGGCATGTGTTAAGCAAGGATGCTGGCCATCATCCATAGGCATTTGAAATTGTCTAGGATGTTAGTAGAATCGATACAGAAAGTACTTAGGAGATGCTCAAGTTTTCAGTAAATATAAAGCAGTGTCTCATGACTCACAGAAAAGAGCAGTGAGGACTCAGTGGAAACTCCATGTCTTGGCAGTCAAAGGTGATCGAGAATTTCCAAAAAGATGTAGAGAGCCAATGATATAAAAAAGACATGTTGAATTCAGGAGAGTGAGTGACCATCACTCTACTCAGAAGAATGGAAATCAAGGGAGATTTTTCAAGATACTTGGTTTTGTTTTTACTTTCTCTCTCTCTCTCTCTCTCTCTCTCTCTCTCTCTCTCTCTCTCTCTCTCTCTCTAAATATTTGGCTATTATTCTCTTTAATGTTAATTCTACATAACATGATTTCTGCACTCTGCCTGTAGATAAATATTATCAGTATTCTATGTCATAAGACAGATTGTGAACCTACTTTTTTGAGACCTTCATTTGGCTTCTACTTAAAATGAGACTGTGTGAGTAGAGGCTGTGTATTGAGTTCTAGAGATGATTGTTGGAAACCTGGGACAGTCAACTGTATAATTCTCCTCTCTTGCTCACCCCTGTTTTCTCACCCACCCACTTTGTCTTTTTATTTGGCATTTTCTCTCTTGATCTCTGTTTACATCTGTGGTCATTCTTAGATTTCTAATCCAGTACAGGAGCTCAATTCTCTTATATTCAAACCTAGAATATTTAAGGTCTGAATATAAAGAAAAACAAAATGGTTGAATAAATATATACTTCCTGGCTCTAGGACCTTAGATCTATATTATTAATTTTGTATTTACTTTCATTAATTTGCCTTTGACCTTAGTTACTTACTTTTGATGGCCTCTGGTGAATTAAATTGTCTCTTCTGTTTTCTATGTGGGAGGGTATTCATCATTTACCCTGTCATTTTCATAAATCTGTTTACAGATTCAATAGTTTAAGCTACTATGTTAAAAGTAAAAAATACTTTAAAAGTCAAAATAAAGCTGGTACTGCTGCAATATTGGCACTATGAAAAACTAGAAGCAAGTGTCTAAAATGCATACTAACTAGGAGTAGTGAAAATGATTTAAAATAAATGTTTATTACAAACTACAGACAATAATGAATACACAAACCTTTAAATACTGGTTTGGGGTGAAAACTGTCTTAGTTGAAGGATTTTCTCCTTTAGAAGATGTTTTATATTTCAACAATGCAGGGATTAAAAGTAGGTATCTTCAGATTCTTACAGACAGCACACAGAAATGAGCTCGATAAAAAGGGAGCATTTTCCTATATTAAATAAAACAAAGCAACTCATATTCGTTATTCCACATAAATTGTACTTTATGGAATATAATACAAATTTTTAAAGCCTTTTGTGTTTTTTTCCTTTAATAATATGTCTAAGAAAAAAGAAAGAGAAAGAAAACCCTTAACATTTTATTTGGTTATTTAAGAGTTCCCTTTGGAGTGGAAGTAGACAGATCTTGATATCACCATGTATAAATAAATAATATGAAGCTTCTATGTCCAGATACAATTCTGAAATCAGATAAGTGGGTTTCATTTATCTCTTATTATTTTAGTGGTGGGAGGCCCAGCTTTCCCTTCCTTCAATTGCCTGAAGTCCTCCCAAGATTGCTCCCCTGGGGCTCCCAATAGCCTAAGGGATGGATTTAGGATCTCATCAGCCCTTTTAATCTGATTGCCATTCTACATTTGAATCTCTGCTCCTGGGTCCTCTCATAAATTGGGAAGAACTGCATACCCGCCCCCATCACCACACATGCTTTCTTTTTACATCCTACACCATGTCAGTTCATAACAGCCCGGGAGTTCCACATCCCAGATGATAACTACACCAGCATGCAAATGTGTGTGCTGACACTTTTCTCTGAGAGTCAATAATGGAAGATGCACCATACATACTTCTTAACTTTTTAAAATGTTATTTAGCATCTCGGTTGCCAGTGAGGACTACATGATTTACAAAAAGATAAATGGATCACATCAGTATATATCTTCATTTTTTAAACAAATATTTGCTTAACACTTAAAATATGTTAAGAATTGGGCTAGACATTAAAAACATGAAGATGAATAAACATGTTTCCTGCCTTCAAAACCTCACAGACAAGGAAGGAGACAGTCATGTACATAAATTACTATAATAAAGCACAGCCAAAAATACTCGAAGTTTAAAATTCTACTTAAGCACAAAGGATAAATATACTATCAAATGTAAGGAGTTTAGCAATGGTCAAGTTGGATACCACACAGAAGCTATATTTCACATAGTCTTTGGAAAGAAGAATATGAGAGAACAGAAGGTAGTCGTTTCTGTAAAAGGCACACATGCAGAGGAAAAACCACACCTCTCAATAGCTTGATGTATAGGGGTCAATGAGGCACATCCTAAAACTAGATGTTACAAATTCTCATGAAGCAATAATGATGTAAGTGTTCAGTATCAAGATTTTCTCAACATATTAGGTAACAGAAAGTCCATGGCAGTATAGAAGGAGATATGCATGACTCCCAGAATCCCCAATCACTATATTTTTCCTTAAGAAACCAAGTTATGAGGCAACTTGGGCACCCTTACAAAAGGTGCCTATGATAGATGAAAGCAAAATAAAGAACCAATGGGTAAGAACTCTGGCTTCTCTTCCTGAGGACCCAGGTTCAGTTTCCAGTACCCACATGACAGCTCACAACCATTTCTAGCTCTATCTGTAACTCCAGTTCCAGGAAAACTGACACCATTTTCAGGCTTCTTTGGGCACCAGGCACACAAATGCTGCACATACATAAATGGAGGCAAAGCACTGATATACATGAAGTAAAAATAAACTAAAGGAAATGTCCTACCCCTGCGTAAACTGTCATAGGATAGAGAAGAATTTCTAGAAATTAAAGAACTGCAATTCCTAACAGAGTTAACCTCTAAAAACTATACCATTTGAGTGTACTCCTTCCTGAAGATTTGTGTGCAGTTAATTGTTGGTAGGGAGAGACACTTCTCCATGGGTGTGACCGTTGGTAAGGTGCCCATGGTCCTGTCAAGAAAAACTCATCTAGGCTTCTATAAACAGACCTGAATTTCATCAGGCCACACATGCCTACATACAACATTTGAAAGTAGAAGGAGGACTAGTTGGGAAGAGGAAGAGGAAGAGTATTAGCAAAAGAATGGAACAGAGACAGGAAAATAATGGTGTGTGTGTGTGTGTGTGTGTGTGTGTGTGTGTGTGTGTGTGTATGTGTATGTGTGTGTGTGTATGTGTGTGTATGTGTTAACATAATTGAAATATATTATGTATGTGTATGAAAATATCATACTGAAACTTACTGTTAAGTATAGGTAATTTTTTTAAATAGCTAAAAAGAGAAAAATCATTCTGCCATACATCCTACTTTCTATTAGTCTTTTGTATCTTTTGGGACACTTGTAACAATAATCTTTTAACCTCACAGAGAACTGTAATCTGTAATTCTTATCAATGCATTTTGATTTACTAAGCCCCATAATAATTCACTTTGCTCCTTCAATAGCTTCTGTTCCACAGCTCCTCTTTATAATGACTTGTAAAGGCTCTCAGTTCTCTAAGCCCTTTCTTCAACTATCACATCTACCTTGCAAACCACAATGATGAATTCAGTCACGCGTTTCCTTTGGGCCAGTGTCCTGGTCTCGTTTCTGCTGGTGTTATAAAATATCCTTACAGAAAGCAATATAGGGAGAAAGGATGCATTTAAGCTTACAATTCCAGGTTCCAGTCCATAATTCTGGGAGCTTCATGGTGCTATGTTCTTGAAGAACTAGTCACAACAAATACACAAGTAAGAACAGAGAGAAATAAAAACATGCTAGCTTACTACTCTTCTGTTTCTCCTCTTAAATAACCCAGAGCCCAAAGCCTGGGAATAGTGATACCTACTTTCAGGATGGATCTTCCTACATCAATTAAGGCAATCAAAGTAATAACACCACATGCATACCAACAAACCAAACTGATCTAGAAAATTCTTCATTGACACTCTCTTCCTAGGTGATCCTAGGTTATGTCAAGCTGACAGTAAAAGCCAACCATCACAGCCAGCATCCATCAGCCTGAGCTCTGCTCAAGAAAAGCCTCTCAGACAGCAGGTGGTCTTGGGATGAATTCATGGTCCCTGCCTTGAAAAGATAACTCAGAGTCTTGAGATCTCCTACTCATTATAGTGACTACCTACTTCTCCAGGTACCTAGAAATGTCTACTCCATTTTGTTCTCAACAGATATTGACCTCAGCTCCTTGAGGATATAGAAGCCCACAATATCTATCACATTGTCTTCTTATTACTAAATCTACATCTACAGTCATTACAGTCATATAAGCATGTGTTCTCTTATTGAAGAACATTCCTTTCAAAATCATTTCCAGTATTTTGGGGTATTATAACTTTTTCTTTTTCTTTTCTTTTCTTTTTAACATGTTTTTTTTTCTCTTTTGTTTCTTTGTTTGCCTCTCTGTGGTGAAACAACTCCAGTTCTTGAATGCTCTGATATGTCTCACTGGGTTTCATTCTTAACACTAAAAGGTTTTGTATCTCTATTTGAATAGTCAAAGTTCCAAATTACATTCATACACAAATGGATATTTTTAAATGGGGCAGTTGATAAACAGAATGCAAACTCAAGCACATATTTTGACTTTAAAAAAATTCTGACTCAGGAGTGATCTTTGTCAAATAGTTATTTTTTACAGTTTTCTTTAAAAATGATACTTCAATTGTCTTTTATTTTAAGTGTTGAGCTTTAACACTTTTTTTGTTGGTGGCTGCTTTTAAGCCAACAATGGCTTAAATATTACCCTTTGATAGAAAAGACAGCACATTTCTTTTATACTTTACAAAACATTAGAGACTTGGAGAATGAAAGAAGTATTTTATGTGGACCAGTGTGGTGGTCAAGATCTTTCCTGAGAAAGTACATAGAATGCATTTTTATAATAAGCCAAAGATGGCTACTTCATCTGTCAGTTCATTTTTGTGTTCCTGGCCACTAGGCCTACTTCCTTAATAATTTTTTCAATTTCTTACCAATAATATGAGATGTTCTTATGCTCTAAGTGGTGCCATCCTCTTGTAAATTACAGCTTCTAACTTTGTAGGTAACATGTAGATTCCAAATAAAGGATCTACATGGCTTCTCTTATTGGAAATTTACTAGGAATCTGGCACTTTGGAACTCTAAATTTATCTCTTGATTGGTTTCCCAGTCTTTCCCAAAATCTGCTGCTTTGGTTTTATATATTGTAGTAAGTAGTACTTTGATTCTTTCTGTAACATAAATGAAAACATGGGAATCATTTTTATAATATTTTATTTTTGCATTTATAATATCGTTACATCATATCCTCCTTTCCTTTCATCCCTCCAACCCCCCCTTGCACACTCCCTTTCTGACTCTCAAACTAACATCCTTTTTCCCTTTTGTGATGGTATTTTATTTGTGCACCCCAATAAAGCTTATCTGGGGATCATAAGACAAAGCCAGCTACTATATTAAACATAGGGGTCAAGCAGTGGTAGCACATGCCTTTAATCCTAGCATTCTGGAGGCAGAGATTCATCTGGATCTCTGTGAGTTCAATGCCACACTAGGAACAAAGCCAGGTGTGGTAGCACATGCCTTTAATCTCAGTGTTAGTTAACCACAGAGGTCTGGAAGTCTGTACAGACAGACAGGAAGTGATAAAGTTGGGTGGAAAGAAGAAAGTGATGTAGCTGGGCAGAGAGAGGAAGTAAGATGGCAGGGCACAGAAAGGGATATAAGCATGAGTATACAGGAAGTAACTCTCTGGAGGCTGAGGAGTTGGTAAGGTGAAGTTGGCTATAGCTTGTTCTGTTTCTCTGATCTCCCAGTTTTCACTCCAATATCTAGCTCTGGGTGTTTTTGTTTGTTTGTTTGTTTGTTTGTTTTTTTTATTAATAAGACCACTTAGCAATTCATCTTACACCCTTTAATCATTGTTACTGTATCCCTAAATACATTAATCCAACCTGTTTTGTCTATATAATGCTATCTGTTTGTATATGATCTCAGTATTGGATAATCAGTTGGTGGCCTCTTCCCCAATAAAGAACATTTCTTCCACTCTCATAATTCCCTAGTTTCCTGTAGTTCTTTGTCTAGAACTGAGGCTCCACAAGCCTTCCCTCTTCCATGTTGAGATGCCCATTGGTGTAGTCCTTTTTGGTTATGATCAGGCAGCCGTGTTGGTGATATTGCACAGGTGTAGCGTCTCTGACATTTCTAGGAGACACAATCTCACAGAAAACTTTCTGCTTCTCTCCTCCTTTTCGCCAGTGACCTCTGAGGCTTAGGTGCAGAAGTTGTGCTGTAGATCTATCAGTTGGGCCATCTGAAATACACTATCTCCTGCTCTCTGAATTTTGATCAATTGTGCTTTTCTGTAGTGGTCTCTGTTTGTTGCAAAAAGAAGTTTTTTTGATGAGAGGTGAGAACCATTTTTCTCTACAAGTATAAGGTTAAATATATAGAACATAGTTAGGAATGGGGTTGGTTTAATAAAGTGGTAGTTGTAAGTTCAAATCCAAGACCCATGACTATACTAGCCTTGGTTATTTGGGTAGGTTTTCATACCAAACATGATTTGCCTCTTGTTGAACAAGTCTTTGGTCCAATTAGTGAGTTGCTGGTTACCATCTAGGTAAGCAAGCCACTATTGCGCCCTTTGTATTACCACGTCATGGTGGTCATTGTTGTTAGTCATGTCCTGAGAGGCATCATAGATGGGTAGGACTGTTGTTGGCTACTCTCCTTTGGAAGCTTGCAGGGTTCCTCCTGGAACCATAAAAACTAGTTATCAGAGGGGAAGCTTTGAGGTAAGAGCCATATTTGAAGGAAGGTCACGTGCTCTTTCTACCAGCTTTCAATCCAACAAAGGATTGTACTTATCAATAACCTAAATTGTACTTCAAATATAAACAGCACAAAAAAATCTGTTTCCACTTTTTACCTCTTAAAATTCACTCTGCATACAGCCAGAGTAAAATGTGAAACCAATTTTATTCCTCTACTTCTTGAGGACTTAATTGTTTTCATATAATATTTAAGTAGGTAAAAATTTCATTTGCTCTTCTTGGGGCATGTCCTGGTTTATACTCATTGTTCTAGCTTCATTCTAAACAGCATTCATTTTAATTCTTCAAAGTGTCTTAGTTGGATAATAAATTATATAGTCATCCCAATATTAAAACACAAACTTCTATTATCTACTTTACCAGTCTCGCATTACTGCACACTAGCCAACTTGACAGCACTAACCATTTCTGCTTCAAAGTCCTTGCACATACTGCTCCCATGAATAGAACACATTTAAACCTTTTCTTGGCTATATGATACACTTTTCCAATTACACACTTAAGTCCCCCTTCTACAAGAGGCATTTCTCTGTTCACAGATAATACATTCATACAAGGATTTTATGATTTGTTGTATCACCCCAACCTAACTAATTGTAAATGTACTTGTACATTCATTACATGTATGTGTTTTTCAGCCTATACAATGATCTCTATGAGAGTAAAGTAAACCATATCCTCCTTTTAGTAAAGGGTATCATGTCTAGCACAGTGCAGGACTAAGTTAGGGATGTTCTCTGCTACTTCTGAAAGAATAGATAATACAGGACAGAGAAATGACAAACTCAATAAACTCTTCTAAACCTGCACAAATATAAAACCACCAATCTCTTATTTTGTTGAATGAAATAAGAAAGTGATAGTAGATGTCAAGATATGAACAACACATAGATATGTTGAGACCACTGTAAAAATTAATTTATAGTCTTATTATTTCAATAGAAATGGACAAATTACATATATGCAATATCTTATGTGCTTGTGTAATTAAAGGAGCTTCAGTAACTCTTTCAAAACAATAAGTTAAATAAGAGGATAAAATAATAAAACTTCAGCTTAAGAATAAAGAACATTCATATGAGATTACATAGGAAATTATTCTCTGGTTAAGAATCATAGGTTGACGACATTTTAGAGCCAGAAGGGTCCTGGACATGAACCAATTTAGTTGGCTAATTATGCAGTAAACAGCCATAGAATGTAGGTTAATATATAAAGTCTACAGTGATGAATGGCTTTCATGTTTCTATATAATCATACAAACCTTCCATAAAAAATATTTGTTATCTCACTGGGAATTAACACATAATCTAATGACTAATTATGCAGCAAACAGTGTATTGCTTAAGACATATAAAGAAACACACTATGTCTATTTGAAGTTGACTTTTGTATAATCCTCCTGACTAAGACTAATCCTCTATATCCCACCACTCTTGTTTCAGGAAAATTAAGACATAAGGTTATAACAAAATAGGTTCTTAGAACCAAATTGCAAAGGTGAATTTTTAATTATACTTCAAAACATTCTTTTTGATGAAACAAAGTATGAATTTTGTCATATAGCTAATAGATTATTTTCTTTAATGAAAATGCATCTTTGGATTCTCCCTTTAGATGGACTATTCTTTTTTTTTTTTTTTTTGCTCACTCTACACAGCATTCTTGAGTGAAAGATTCAAACAGGGAACTCACAATCACCTTTTTGATCTTTAAGAATTATAAAAACAAGCACACTCATACAGGGTTACTTGTTTTAAACACTTAGTTAAGTTCCAAAAAGTACTTTATTTTATAAAAAAAATTATTGTGGTTTTGATTATGTGTAGTTGTGCATTTGTATGTGTCTGTGTATATGTGTACAAAAGAACATATGCCCATAGAGACCAGAAAAGGGCACCTGGTCTCTTGGAGCTGGGGTTAGAGACAATTGTCAACTATCTGTTGTAGGTGCTAAGAACCCAACTCAGGTCCTCCACAAGAGCAGTGCACACTTTTAACCACTGAGCCATCTTTTCAGCCCCTGAATACTTTGTTTAGTGTGTGAAAATTATATCCACTTTACAGGAAGTTCATGCCACTTGTATTTCAGAATAATAACAAAAGAATTTACTGTCTCCCCATTCCAAATTAGAAAGTCAGGCTGTAAGAAACATGTCTTCTGATGAGGAGGTTTATGACTGCTGCATGGTGACATCTACAAGGGTAGCATGAGGTTGTACAGTCCCCATTATCCCAACGCAGATATCCCATCAGAACTCCCAAGAATGAGGCCAAGTGTTTTCCATAGGCATTCTTTCCCTCAGAAATTCCTCCACACTCCACAAATGTGACACCACATAGAGTGACTCACACATGTACACAGACAATATTACTTGTCTAGCTCTACAATATGAATAAGGCCTGCCAGTTTTTATGTTGATTCTGGTTTTAATAAACATGAAAATCATTTTACATGTTTGAATATGAATGTTAAGGAATTTAAGCACTCGCAGAAGGTATTTAAAAGAATAATGTCTATACAATAAAAATGCTTGTCAAGGATCCTCAAGAACACAGCAAATGACTGGAATGGGGAGATGGGTATGGAAGGAATTATTTATTCATCAAGACTCTCCCAATGCAGGGCATTATTTCCAAGCTAGAAAGCTTAGCATGCCCCACCCTGAAATGGAAGGCAGTGTTTAGCAGTTATGTGAACAATGACTTTGAAGGCTGCTAAGAGCCCCATGTGAGGTTTTTATTACAAAGGCCCTATTTCAGATATGTCAGGTTTAACTTGAAATTGGAATTTCTTCCATAGAAGTCAGGGCTTGACTTCTTTTCTAGGGTATTTTGGTTTCCCTTGTTTGGAGGTCGGGTGACTAATGATGCCCTGGAAACGATTAACTTAAAAAGCAGCAGCTAAGAGCATTTGATCCTCCTTTGATGAAGTGTGAACACTAGATCCTTTCCCCCAAAGTGGAGCTGGACTAAGCTAGCTCTGAGGGAAGGGAGAGTGGGAGTGCAGAGGTGGGGGTGTGCATTCATTATGCTCCTTTATCTCTGGGAAGCTATTTCAAGTGATCACTGGTGGAAACCGCTGATAGTCAATCTCCTATTTTCACTCTGCATTTGACATCAAGGTTGTCAATACGACATAATCATCTCTGTCAAAAGCATCATTCATTTCCAAACTGCAGAGTTATTTACAGTCGTGTCTTCACTCAATGTAACACTACCACTCAACACTCAGCTGTCCTTTCTCTGTTCTGACTAAACATTCGGGCAGACTTCTAAAGAAACTCTATTTTAGGTTAGGCTAACAACCTGAAAATGAACCCAGAAAGAAAAACTTCTTCCCTTGTCCAAATACCATTTGGACAAATGGATAAAGTTTTTCATGAAAACTGGCATTTCAAAATGAGTTCTGTTTGGTAAGAGACACGGTGCTGAAAAGTGACATTTATAATGACAGCAATATGGATCCCCATTAACAAAGACTGGGTCATATTGTGCTCTAATTATAACCACTTTGAATGTGTGTGCATGTGTGTGTGCATGGTGTTTAATTTAGGAATCAATTAGAATAACATATCTCCCACTGAAGAACCTACTATAAATCTCTGTTTACAGAAACATGGCTGGTATGGGCCTTTGATTACAGTTAAATAGAAAATACTGTGAGGAAAACTTGGTCTCATGTGTCTAAGAATCGGGATGAGTAGCTATTGACTTGCTTCGTTCTGCACAGCCAGCAGAGTCCTAAAAGCTGTGCAGCATATGAAGAAATGACGTTGATACGAAGAAACAGGAGCTAATGGAAATCAGGCAGGGTTCTTAAAAGGCTTTGCTTACTCATCTCTTTCATCTTCTCTCTCAGAGAACAAATCTTAGTATAACCAAAACTCTGTATTTCCCCACGGCACTACTCAAGTTTTTTTTTTTCTTTTTCTTTTTCCTAGCAGAAGACATAACGATGGCTAAAAAAAAGAGGGATGAAGTTGGGAAAACTCTGAAGCAGTTTTCAAGCTCATTTGGCAAATAGAAGTTTGGTTATCCAGCAGCTTCCAGAGGCTATTAATCCCAATGTTCTTCTGAAGAGGCACATAAATATTGTTATCACTCCATGTGGGGCTCCTTTCCCTCGTTATCAAATGTCTAAAATATATGAGCTATAGAATAAATCAGATTATCTAAGTGTGTTTTTTGTCATCTAAACAAACTCATTTTTTTTTTACTGAAGTCAGAGCTTTTAATATTAATAGTTACTACTAACTGTGAGGCATTTGGGCACCAGTTACCTTACATAGCTGATGTAATTTGGGTCTCTTCTCATCTCATGAATGTGTTCATTGTTCCCATTTTATTGATGAGGTAACTGTAATTGACAGGGATTGAGGAATTTTCTTGGAGTTCTGTACTTAACATCAAAAGTAGTGTAACTCACTTCTAATTATCCCAACCATCCTGAAGTAGGAAGTACTGGTACCCTACCCACCTTTCAACAGATGAAGAAACCAACACAAGTTTTGACAACTTGCATAGTAAAATACTCTGCATGATTTTGCTGGGGTTTAAATATGAGCACCTGACTTCCAAGCAATGCTTTCCTTAGCTGGCTCCCCCAATCACACCCAGAGAGATGGGATTTTAGTTCATAGCTTTTTAGTTTTACACTCATGCGGTTTTCTTTCTCAGCCCTAATGAAAACACAAGGAGGTTGAAGGGTCGGCATCATGGCCCATTCGTGTTTCTTTCTATGTTTCTGTGTCTCATTGGTGCCCTTGACTGTAACCAACCATCCCATACTTTGTTTCAGAATTACACCTTTCCCTTAGTGTCGCTCACTTTTGTCCAGCAATGCTAATGATTATTTTTATGTTCTCCCTTCTAGGTCCCATGTTTTCCTAAAGTTACACAGGGCCACGATCCATACTCCTAAGAACTCATAAACTTCATGTTTTTCTGTATTTTCTTGTCTAGCCTATTTTCACAACATGCATTTGCCACGACTGCAGTCTATTTGACTCAAGTCCCATGTACCTTTATCACGATCTTCTTAAAACCCCCACTTCCACTATTTCTTATTCATAAAGCATGAAAAAAATATTGAGCCCTATTTCTTTCATTACATACACACAGTTACAGCAACTAGAAACAATATTTTCTAGTCTGGAGTAACTCATACATAATAATAATTGTGAGGTCTTTTTAATGAACACATCATTTACAGTGATTGTTACTGTCTTCATGCATGTGTCTATAATTATATGTATTATGCTGTTTCACCTTCCTGCTGCTCATGTTCTTGATTAAAATAAAAAAAAATGAAAGTCCAGCTTATAAGCATTAGTTATTGAATTGTCACCTCCTCACTCTACTTATTGACAATAATTTGGAAATAGCAAACATCAAGTCTGATTTATTAGGCCATCCATTTACCATGGCCTGGGGCCACTTCTAAGTGATTAATGATGTGTGAGCTTGTTGCAATATTAAAGAGATCAACCTGAACCCTAACTCTAAGCATAACAACTCTTCAGAGGCTTGCAATAATTTGCTTATTTTTTATTTCTGGATAGTAACAATTAAAGAAGTTAATCGCTGTTACTCTTCGCCTTTTAAAACTAGGCTTAGATAATCTAAATTTCAATAGTATTTTTCTATTGAAAATGTGGATATCTTCTGAGGTGTTTTAGCTAGTAGTAGGCAATCTTAGATAAACACACATGTACATACAAACACACACACACACACACACACACACACGTGTGTGTGTGTTAGTATATGGTTACACAATTTGAAATAAATAAAGGAATAATCCTTCTGGGGATATTTTACTCAAAAATGTTATAATTACATAGTTATTCTAGAAACCTTCCTTCATTATAGCTTCATTTTAAAAGAGATTTGCAGTCTATGATTCATTTTTCAAACGTATTATATTTTACTTATTTTCTTCAAGGTAGCTAGAGCAAGTAATGTTGGGAATGAAAGGAATCTACTGAATGAAAGATGGTTTTCCCAGGTCATGGACTGACCTAGGGCTTGTACCCAGACTGGATTTCTAGCTTTGGTCCTACTTATCTTACTGTTTATATCAGAAATTCACTCTATCACATGAAGATTAAGCTTTAATTATTTAAATAGTGTTTTTATCATACATACTCAGTTTAATTTGGTGTAAGGAAAGAAAAATAATTTTTGATTAATTTTCTCTCTGGTTTCTAATTTCCAATGAATTCAAACCAGAAAAATATATAATAAACATCATGAAAGTATTTACATTTTTTGTTTTGTTTTATTTTGTTTTTGTTTTTCGAGACAGGGTTTCTCTTTGTAGCTTTGCACCTTTCCTGGAACTCTATAGTCCAGGCTGGCCTCAAACTCACAGAAATTTGCCTGGCTCTGGGATTAAAGGTGTCGCCACCACCACCCTGCAGTATTTAAATTTTAATCCAAAAACACATTTTAAACCCATACAGTACTTCAGGGTTATAATTCTCCATTAGATTTTACTATTTTGTAAAGATATCAGCTAAGAGGTCTACAACACCCCCTTTTGTCCTATATGGATGACATTGCCTCCTGGCTACCAAATAAATAAACCATATAGTATAATAAATATACTATAAATAAATCATAAAGTAATACAAGATACTGTTTATCAGCACAAACATATTTTGAGTGTTCTTAGGGAAACTGGGGTTACCATTTTGGTTTTGTAGTCTCATTAATAAAATAATTTAAAAATAGAGTCAGAAGAAAATTGCAGAACAGCTTTATTAAAGTTTGAGGAAAATACCCAGGCGGGCAGGCTGGAGTCTTTGCCAGCTACCAAGATGAGAAGCAGCCGTAGAAGAGCCAAGTTCATATATTTTGAGTTTGAGTCTGAGGAAGCAGTCAGGTTCAGCCATGAGGTTGGGAAGCAGCTGTATGGCAGAAAGGGAGGAGTGAGGAAGCAGACTGCCACAGAAAGTTTGCTTAGGTTTCCTGGAAAAGTATCTGAAAGTTTACAAAAAAAAAATCAGAAAGAAAAGGATAAGTTATACTTTTTTAAAATTTACTTTTATAATTTAATTTAATTTTACATATCAGCCATGGATTCTCTTGTTCTCCTCCCTTCTTACCCCCCCCCCCCGCAGCCTTCCCCCAACCTACCCCCCATTCCCATCTCCTCCATGGCAAAGACTCCCCTGAGGATTGAGTTCAACTTGGTAGATTCAGTCCAGGCAGGTCCAGTCCCCTCCTCCCATGCTGAGCCAAGTGTCCCTGTATAAGATCCAGGTTCCAAACAGCCAGCAAATGCACTGAGGACAGGTCCCGGTCGTACTGCCTGGATGCCTCCCAAACAGTTCAAGCTAATCAACTGTCTCACTTATCCAGAGAGCCTGATCCAGTTGGGGGCTCCTCAGCTATTGGTTCATAGTTCATGTGTTTCCATTAGTTTGGCTATTTGTCCCTGCGCTTTTTTCAACCTTGGTCTCAACAATTCTCGCTCATACAAATCCTCCTCTTTTTTGCCAATTGGACTCCTGGAGCTCCACCTGGGGCCTGGCCATGGATCTCTGCATCCGGTTCCCTCAGTCATTGGATGAGGTTTCTAGCACAACAATTAGGGTGTTTGGCCATCCTATCACCAGAGTAGGTCAGTTCAGGCTGTCTCTCAACCATTGCCAGTAGTCTATTGTGAAGGTATCTTTGTGGATTTCAGAGGACCTCTCTAGCAAAATGCAAATCAAAATGACTCTGAGATACCACCTTACAGCTGTCAGAATGGCTAAGATCAAAAACACTGAAGACACCTTATGCTGGAGAGCATGTGGAGCTAGGGGAACTCTCCTCCACTGCTGGTGGGAATGCAAGCTTGTACAACCACTTTGGAAATCATTATGGCACTTTCTTAGAAAATTAGGAATCAATCTCCCCCAAGATCCAGCTATACCACTCTTGGGCATATACTCAAGGAATGCCCAATCATACCACAAGGGCACTTGCTCAGCTATGTTCATATCAGTATTGTTTATAATAGCCAGAACCTGGAAACAACCTAGATGCCCTTCAACTGAAAAATGGATAAATAAAATGTGGCACATAGACACAATGGAATACTACTCAGCAGAGAAAAACAATGACATCATAAGGTTTGCAGGCAAATGGATGGATCTAGAAAAAATCATACTGAGTGAGGTAACCCAGACTCAGAAAGACAAACATAGTATGTACTTACTCATAGGAGGATACTAGATGTAAAACAAAGATGACTTGACTGCTACTCACAACTCCAGGGAGGCTACCTAGAAAACAGGACCCCAAGAAAGACACAGGGATTGCCCAATGACAGAGAAATGGATGAGATCCATTTCTGGACATGAGTGGGGGTAATGAATGGCAAGGGTCGAGGGAAAGAGAGCTTAGGGGAGCAGGAGATCCCAGCTGGATCAAAAACAGAGAGGGAGAACAAGGAATAAGAGAACATGATAAATGAAGACCACATGAGAATAGGAAGAAGCAAAGTGCTAGAGAGGTCCTCAGAAATCCACAAAGTTATACTTTTAATTCAGGAGAGTGGGCAGAATTACTCTGTAAGTAGTTCTATGGGGGAGGATCTTTGAGGAAAATATGCTATCTTTTTAAAGAGATAATTACTTCTCCTGTCCCTTTCGCATATCTTTAGGTGAATCAACTTTACTGGAGGATAGACTCCTGGCTAGGTGACTGGCAGGCCCAACTGGATTTAACCTTAAAGGGGAGAATTACATGTAGTAGGCTAATCAATAGAGCACATGAGAATGTCATGTCTGCACCAAGGGCCAGAATATTTCATATTTTGACTAGGAAGCCAAAGCAGGGCAGAGCTACTGTTTACCTTCCTGACACTATCAGAAAAATGGGAAGTGGAGTTCAAACCGATCAGGAGATGGCGGTCCCTCCTCAGTGACTTCCAAGGCTACTAAATCCTGTGTAGCTTACCTAACATTCCCCTCTCAAGAACTGCGATGATGAAATTGTTTAGGAGATGGGTTGAAATTGGGAAACAGATACAATATGTTTCCATCATGCAAACCCAGAGATCCAGTTCCAAAGCTTTTTCCAGGAGGAATTAGAGTCTAGACTGCGCTCTGCTCTCATCCTTGTGTATAGCTTCCAGACCAGGTTGCTTCTAAGAGAATAAGGAACCAGAGGGCAGTGCTGGCATTCCTAGCCTCAGGCTAGGACAGAACCAGGAACATCTCTGGCTTGAACTGTTTACTTTTAAGGTCCATTCCGGTAAAATGGCTGGAGCACTTCTGATCTTTTGTTTAGTCCTAGCTAGTGATTGCATGTTGGCTCACAAAAAGTTTTCGTTACTTGAAACTAGTTTTCCTAAATCAGGGCTTCTTCATCAAATGATAGTCACATCGTTTTGAAAATACACTTTAGGCACATGTTTGTTGGCTTATTCCTTTCTGACTGTCAATGCCACCAGGGAAGCATCATTGAAAGCTCTCATCTTCCTCAGTCATGTCTAAGTCGGAGTCCTCCCAAGGAGACCACACAGCTGTAGAAGCTCTTTATTGGCATTCTGAGCTTTGAAACAACTGATGAATGTAGTGGGTAGCCATTCCAGCATTGATCTGGAAGTTCCAACCCCCACTGAGGCTTCAGTAACTGTCACGCATACAAGGCAGGGCCGAGAGAGGACCCTGAAGACCCGAGATCTGGATGGGCCAGTTCTCTTGGTTCCTGGACCCTGGACGCTGGAGGTAGATCGAGCAGAGTTCTCCAGAGAACACCACTGGACTGTGCCACACCTTTCCCAGACCCTGTTACCTATCCCTTCACTTGTAAGTTACCACATAAAATAAACCTCCCTTTTAACTACATGGAGTGGCCTTAATAATTTCACCAGTAGATGAGAGTCTGTAGATTGATTCTATTCAATGACTGTCCAATGAGGCATCCAAGTGAAAACCTCAGGTTTATCACTTTTGCTGCTGTGGAGAGGTGGATACACATATAAAGTCAAGGACACACAAAGTGGATGAAAGAAGAGTGTGGACTAAAGAGAGTTGTGCTGAGAGAAGATTCTCAGAGACCAGG